TTAGAGTAAAACTAGTGCGTATGACGGATATGAACCTTTTTATCCTTCCATCCCCGACGCTTGTGCATTTGCTCTTGTCCATTCCCCATCATTGTCGAGCTCATGAAAAAGGCATCAACGCAAGCTTCCTGCTTCAGCAAATTGCTTTCCCCTGCTTCTGTATCACCAACATAGATGCATAAGCGATTTATTCTGAGATCATTCCAAATAAATTGTTTTTTAGCACGACTGTTACCCAGTGCTCACCTCACCTCTGTACAGGCCTTCTATAGATCTATATGGTGAAATCATCACAATACTAAGACAAGCTTTTAGGAAACAGTGCTGCAGCGAGCGGACTTAAGCTGAGCTGAGCTGAGCTGGGCAGAAGAGGCAAACAGTTCCCCCTGTTTGGATCAGGCAGAGCAGAGCAGAGCTCAGCTGAACTAAGAGGATCAGGGCAGGGCCAAGTTGAAGCAAAGGAGCACTCGCGGGTGTGTGTTTCTGTGTGTGTACACATCTGTGTGTTTGAATGAGTAATTAGGGTTTTCATTAAACCCAAATTACCACTGTGTAATCAGAGGAGCGGTGGTTATTTTCAGAGTGAGGGGACACTTCTGATTGGAAGATGCTTGTTTAGGCCAAATAAGGAAGCACAAAGAAGCACACACACAGTCCAAGCTGTGGAATGCTGTGTTTATGTAAAATGGGGCCATATGATGGATGATAATGCACTTTTCTCTAGAACATTATTTCCTGATGCAATTAGAGATGCAAGTGTGTTTGCATTAGCAGGTCTTTCAGCATGTGGTTGCAGCTGTTTGATGCCTTAATTGGTTGAAATGCTGCAACAAAACATTTTTTACTATGTGGAAAGTTTTTCTCTTTCATACAGTTTTAAATGCATCAACAATGTGATGATCAAGTAAGATGACCTATAATCCGCTCATCTTGGCTTGCTGCAGTAGAAAACTCTACACCTAATTTTTTGTCTTGTCCTGTGATACTAGAAGGACTTTTACTGACAGAACAAGCCACTGCACTGGAAACTGCTGCACAATTCTTAATTCGAGCCCAGTTAGATTCGTTTCTCATTATTAATGAGCACATTTGAAAGTGGAGGGGTAATAGTTAGCAGATCATCTGGTCATAATTGACTAACTTCTGCATTACAGCAATAATCATTGCAGCTGTGGTGTCTGTCAGGTGTAGCAAATGTGATGCTAATGAGGTTTTCTTAGACATTAAAGCTATGCAGTAGTAGTAGTTCATTTAAAAAACATACATAATTGTATGGGTAGGGTGAGAAGTTCGGCCATCCGGGAGGGGCTCAGAGTAGAGCCGCTGCTGCTCCACATCGAAAGGAGCCAGCTGAGGTGGTTCGGGCATCTGACAAGGATGCCTCCTGGGCGCCTCCT